CCCGACGGCTCCGGCTCCGGCGCCGGCGCTCGCCGTCGTCGGTTGAATGAGTGGGCGTGGTTCGACCCCCCCACAATTCAGGAGGGGGCCTGGTTCGTTTCGAACCCCGCCCTTTTTTTAGAAAGGGGGGGGGGGTCGAGCCCCCCGCCCTTGCAATTGAGGTCGGGGGCCCTCCCGGTTCGAGAAGGGGGGGGGTACAGTTCGACCCCCCCCTTTGCAATCCGGGGGTGGCCACTCTCGACCCACCCCCCAGCGTCCACAAGACTCGATATTTCACAGCAGTCGCACATACACACATATATATATATAGATATGTGTATGTATGTATGTACGTACGTATGTAGTATGTATGTATGTATGTATGTATGTATGTATGTATGTATGTATGTATGTATGTATGTATGTGTATGTGTGTACGTATGTATGTCATGTGTAAATGCATATGCATACCCATATACATGTCAATATCAACATCCATGTCCACGTCATCATGCAAATCTAAATGCCTGCCAATATCACTATATGGACCGATGTGATAAACACCGCGGTCCCAAAACCGTGAGCCTCTACCAATATGTGGTGTGATCTAGTTTTCGGAGCAAGCTATGTTTTTCAATCAGCGTAATGCAACTTATGCGGTGCGCAATATGTGGTGCAATTCACACTGCCGCGCTTGAAAGTGTCAACACAAGCGCTCGCGCAACCATCCCGCCCACCCACCCGCAAGTGGGTTTGCGGAACTCATGCGGCGGCGATTGCGATGACTGCTCGGCGCTGGCTGGCGCATCGCCACGGCCACGCTAGCGCGCAAGCTTGCGCGTGCAGCGGCCAGATACTCTGGCGCGACTGACGCGGCCGCGGTGGCGCTGACCGCTGGGCACTTCCCAGCGGGCATTTCAGTGCGAGTGGGCGATTTTGGCGGGCGCGGTATCATGGCAACGTCGACAACGGTAGACGCGATGATGATCGTAGCGATGCTGGCGACGATGCTGACAACGACGACGGCACGGCCAGTGACGGCGCCGATGCTTATCATGCCCTCGACGATGACGGCGCCTTTGCGTCGGTTATGAAAGTTTTGGGAAGAGTTGGACAGGCGCGCGCGATCCACGCTGGAGTGACCCGCAAAGTGCAACTTGACACGGACCTTGCCCCCACCCCAACAATGCGCGCAAGGGCGCCCGAATGATTCCGCCATGCGGCGCGAAGGGTCGTTTGGCTGAATGTGATGAACATGTTGAACAACCCATGGTATTCGTAAGAATTCGCAAGACCGCGAGCGCAGGCTTTCTTTGAACACCACTGTTGTCAGACCACATGCTTTTACATGTTTTCGCGACATTCGGCCTTGAATTCTTTACGGAAGCTCTGGTTTCTGAACGATTCTGGCATGCGCGCGCGACGCGCGCGTGCACTTCGCTTGGCGTTTTGCCAAGGATGCTTGCGACATCACGCGCGCAAGGGATGCCTTGCGATTCCGAAAACCAGTGCAACCGAAGTTTTCTTAACACACCGTCGGAACACGAACGCAAACCAATTCTGAACATGTGTATTGCGAAGCTGCGTGTGATTATATAGTTTCGGGGCACTCGGTTTTGAATGCCTTGCGAAACCTGATGTTTTTGGTGGAAAGGGTTTGGCATGCGCGCGACGACGCGCGCGTGTGCACCCCGTCCCGTTCATTTAAAAAGTCTGATTTGTGATCGACGAGCGCGCACATGGTATGTGTTGGCAGAGGATGAAAGGGGAGACGATGCCAGCCTGCATGGGGGCGCACAAAATCACATGTAACATGGCCGATGGGGCACATCCGCATGTGAAACGCAATGCGGAAAGGAGACCCATTAAATCCTGCCGGGGGGGTCTATTTTTATTTCCGAACGCAAGAGAAATCTGGTGCGGCCCACGCTTTGCAGAGTATGCGGTGCAACCGGATGGTGCAACATAACTATGTGGTGATATCTTGGTTGGACAACGTAAAAGCTGCACGCAACGTGGTGCAGTCTACATGATGGAATCACCGATGTTCGCAATGAGTTGTCAACGCCATTGCTCGCGCAATCATCCCACCCACCCACCCGCACTTTGGCTTGTGAAGCCTATGCGGCGGCGATTGCGATGATAGCGCTTGGCGTTGGCAGGTGCATTTTTGCGGCCGCGCTAACCGGCGCACGCTCGCGCGCGCAGCGGCCAGCCAGTGCAACGTGACCGACGCGGCCTCGGTGGCGCTGACCGCTTGGCACGTCCCAACAGGCATTTCAGTGCGAGTCGGTGACTTGGGCGGGCGCGGTATCATGGCGATGCCGACCACAGTAGTCACGATAAGGGGTCGCGGTGATGGTGACAATGGTGGCGATGACGACGGCAAGGCCAATGACAACGCCGATAGTGATCACGCCCGCCGATAACGACGACGATGTCATCGCGTCGGTGATGAAGGTTTTGGAGACATCGACATGCGCGCGCGGCCGATTCGCGCGAGTGGCCCGCGCGGTATGCAATATATCCGGCGATGCGCACATTGTGCAATTCAGGCAGTGAAACAACGGGGACGGCGACAAGTTAGCCGATAGACCAGAAGACAGGTCCAACCGAGGGGCGGCGACGAGACGGCGACGGGGAGGCGACGGCGACAACATAGCCGCTAGAGCGACATTCAGGCCAGGGCTCCTAGAAAATAATGAAGCCCCTAGTGCAAGCACGGTTTTGGGTTCGTGTCTGCAATATGTTGATAAGGATATGGAGATGGATATATATATATATATATATATATATATATATATATAGGTGTGTGAAAAATACTTATAAACATGTATGATGTGGATGTGTACGTGTGACTATATATATATATATACACGAACATATCCATATCCGCCGCCTCCCGAGGTCCAGGGATATCGGTCGGGATACATCTGAGGCTCGGACCCCCTCGCGGCCCCCGAGGCCCCCTCGTGCCCCCCCCCCCTCTCTCTGGAGTCCCCTTGCATTTTCATCAATATCTTGCCGGCCCTGGACGCTGGGGCGCTTCTCCGACGATTTCCAGACTCCCAGTCCCGCGGCAATTTCTGAGGATTTGGTGTTGTTTCGGGAGGTCTGCGCCCTCTCTTCGCACGGGGGCGCGGGGTAATCGCGTGAGTTTGTGGACATGCGGGTCTTTTCTGGGTGCTTCAGATGCCTTGGGGCCACGACGCAGGGGTCGACACCGCCCTTGCTCAGCGTTCGAGTCCGCAGCGCTCTCGTTGGCGGCACTCTCGCTCGCAACGCTATCGTTCGCAGCGTTCGCGCTCATCACTTTCGTTGGCAGCACACTCGGCCGCAGCGCTCTCGTTCGCAGCGCTCTCGTTCGCAGCGTTCTTGTTCGCAGCTCCCTCTTTCGCAGCAGCCTGGTTCTCGACGCTCGCGTTCGCAGCGCTTTCGTTTGCAGCAGCCCCGCTCGCGACATCCTCGTTCGTGGCACTTGCGATCGCAAAACTCTCGTTCGGGGCACTATCGATTGTGGGGCTCTTGCCCCCAGCACATTTGACCGTAACGCAGTCGTTCGCAACGCACATGAAAAGCAATCCCTACCGCCCAAAACCTGGATAGACGGGGAATCGATTCCTTTTCAAACCGGCGCCCTCGCCTGACTAGCGCGTCCATGGTGCGATCGCCTTTCAAGGGACGCTTCCCAAAGTCAGAAGAAGGGCGCGGTCCTGTGGCGGGCTAGCTTGAGGCGGAATACCGATTGCGCATTGCAGCAGCGTTGACGCACCGTCGTCGTCCTCCACATCCTCCTCCAACAACCTGATCCCCCGCCCAGTCCGGTCTCTCCATTACCCATCGGGGGTAATTCTCGTTACATGGGGGAGGAGGGGTGGCGGCGGGGAAGGAGTGGGGCCAAGACGGCCCAACACTGCGTCCAAGACTGATAGTGTAGCCCAATATGGGATCCAAAACGGCCAACGTGGCATCCATGACGTGGCCAAAGAAGCCTTCAAGAGAGCCAAGGCGGCGCTATTTGGCCGCCGAAACGATCCAAGATGCCCTCCTAGACGGCCACGAAGCCCAGCGTGACCCCAATACGGCCCAAGTTGGTTACAATACGGCCCCATATGGCCGCCCGAACCCCCAGGAGGTTCGAAGAGACCCCAAAAAAGCCTCGTTGTCTTCCGCCTCCTCCTCTTCCACTTCTTCCTCCTCCTCCCTCCCCCCTCCTTTTCCTGCCGATCCTCCTACTCATTCTCTCGCCATCTCCTGAACGGAGGGGCACCCCGAAGAAGTTTCAATACCAGACACCTCAACATGGATTCTGCTTAAGTCAAACGATTCGGACGGTTTCTGACACACTCGGACGAAACTTCTGACGGATCCTGAACAAATTAACGGGTTCTGAAAGGATCCGGACCTTCGCATTTTGACAAATTCTGACACGTTAGGACAAACTCTGACGGACTCTGCACCTGCTACCCTTGGCCCGCGTATTGACCGAAGGGCAGCGGGACTCGACCCGAAGAGGGAACGCGGCAGTAGGCCAGGAATGGCTGAGCAGCGGCGCAGGTTGCCCGACTCCCCGCGCGGCCAATGGGCAATCAATCGAGCATGCCCCCACGGCCCATCTGGGATCGCTGGAGCATCCCGATGCAGCTCGCTCCGCGCACCAGAACCAAGAAAAACCCACTGCTCTTGCTGCGCGAGCCATTCCATGAGGAGCCCTAAACGTCAGATGCCAAGAAGAGGTTAAAGATCATTCGTTGGATTCGTCGTCGCACTCGTCGGCGTCGTGACCCAAGGCCTGTCGACCTGCTGGAGCGGACGCGGCGAGCTGTCGCCAAGGCTCCCGTCCGTCGTCGCCGCTGTCGTCGTTGTCTTGCTTCGGCGGATCGGCCACGCGACGGATCGGGAGAAGTCGGAATCGGAGTCGCACATCGAATGCCCGCGACGAGTCGCATCGAGACGGGACCCTGGGATCGACCAAGCGGGATCGGAAAGCGCGATGCAGTGGAGATGGTCCCCCCCAGGGCCATCTGCAGGCGCCCCAGTGTCGCGGCGGCCACCAGCGGCGACATCGCCCGCATCGCCTTCAGGCCGACGCCGCTCGTGGTGGCGGCTGCACCGCCTGCTGGGCCTCGGCGCGCGAGCGCACGGCTGGCGCTGCTCGGCGACGCGCAGGGAGACGACGAGGCATCGATGATCAGAATGTGGGACGAAGGCAGGATGAGGAACATTGGATCAGGTCGAATGTATTTCAGGCTGATCAGGATCGATCAGCTCGAAGGCAGGCTCGACGACCAGGAGGCGAGACGAAGACAAGACTGGGAGAACTGCATCAGTTCGGTATTATGTCAGACTACCGAGTGTGTTTGAGAGAGCGTGATCCACAGCCGCTTTACTACCTCGGGGGTCCCCCCTTCCTCCGGGGCCCGGGGGTCCCCCCCTCCGAAAATCACCCCCTTTGCTCGAAACTCCCCCCCCCCTCCCCCCCCCAGGCACCCCCCCCCTTAACCCCTCTCCCCCCCGCCCTCCGTAAAACAGAAGGGGGTCACTACGGGTTCGATTCCCCCCCCTCCTTTCAGGAAAGCCGGGGGGTGTCCCTACCGAATCGAACCCCCCCCATGGCCGCCGGCAAACAACTACCGGGTCACCACCACCGTCCTCACCACCGCCCTCACCACTGTCCCCACCGCCACCGGCCCCACCACTATCCCACTGTCCGCACTGTCCCCACCACTGTCCGACAGTCCCCACTAACCCCAGCGCTGTCCCAGTGAGCTGTCCCACAATTCCCACCACTGTCCCACTGTCCCCACTGTCCCCACCACTGTCCCCACGGTCCCACTGTCCCCTTATCCCACCACCGTCCTCACCACCGCCCTCACCACTGTCCCCACCACCACCGTCCCCACTGCTGCCCCACTGTCCCCACCACTGTCTCAGTGTCCCCTCACCACTGTCCCCACCACCATCGTCCCCACTGCTGTCCTCCTGTTCCCACTGTCCTCACTGTCCTCACTACTGTCCCCACCACTATCCCCACCACTGCCCCGCTGCCCCCACTGTTCCCACCACTGTCCCCACTGTGCCCACCAGCGCCCCCATCACTGTCCCACTGTCCACACCACTGTCCCCACCACTGTCCCCACCACTGTCCCCACCACTGTCCCCACCACTGTCCCACTGTCCCCACTGTCCCCACCACTGTCCCCACCACGATCCCACTGTCCCCACTGTCCCCACCACCGTCCCACTGTCCCCACCGCTGTCCCACTGTGCCGTCCAACTGTCCCCACTGTCCCCACAACTGTCCCCACTGGCCCCACCACTCTCCCCACTGTACCACTGTCCCACCACCCTCCTAACAACCGCCCTCACCACTGTCCCAACCACCGCTGTCCCCACCACTGTCCCACTGCTGTCCCCACCACTGTCCCACTGTCCCCAATCCCCACCACTGTCCCCACCAGTGTCCCCACCACTGTCGCATTGTCCCCACTATTTCCACCACTGTCCCCACCACCACCACGGTCCCACTCTCCCCACTGTCCCCACCACTGTCCCAATGTCCCCAGTCCCAACCACCATCCCCACCACCGTCCAAGCCACTGTCCCCACCAATTCCCCATCCGGAGTGGGGAAGGAAGGGGAGTATTTTCGGCGAGGGAGGGGGGGAGGTTCGAACCAATAGTGACCCCCCCCCTTTTCATGGTGGACCCGGGGGGGGGGGGGGGGTTGGAATCCCCAGTGACCCCCCCCGGTTTTCGAGAGAGGGGGGGGACGGGTTGGAAACCCCCAGTGGCCCCCCCTGGTTTTCTGCCAGCAGCGGTAGAACACGCTCTTTCGTATGTTTCGATCAATTCGAAGACAGGATGGGGAACCGTGATCGGATTGAGGATGAGAAGGTCGGGATAGGTCTAGGGCAACGCCACGCGGCGCGCCAAAATGATCGCGCCCTCGCGCTTTCGCGTCGCCCCTACTTAAGAAAGGCAGCTCACCGCGACGCGAGAGCGAGAAGCGCGACTATCTTCGCGACCCCGCGGGTGACCTAAATAGATCGCATACCTCTGAGAAATGGCCGTCCAGGAGGATGCATCCAGCGCCGCGGCCCCTTCAGGGCTCTCCAGAACGCTCTGAAAACATCTCAGATCTCTGTGGATAAAACATCCTCATCCTTGGCTTCTCTGATGAAGGCTGCCAAGATTTGGCAAGAAAAACGGTTAAAGCGGGCTTGCGCAAGTCTCTGGCACACCGCGGAAACTACGCGGGTCAAGATTGTTGAAGGCCGCGGTCGATGTCGTTCAATGTTTTTTTTTGTCACGGCAAATCGTCGATATACGCCTGGGGTGAAACATCACGCTGATACGACATCTCCTTGAAACGTATCGGCTCCACCGGTGAGGAAGAGGAGGAAAGAGGAGGAGGAGGAGGAGGAGGAGGAGGAGCGAGGAGGAGGGAGGGAGAGGCGAAACAGTCACCGCGTATCAACGGGGTAAACCATGGCGCTGCCACCTCCTGTCGAAAGTTAGTGTGGCCTCCTGCCACCTGGGCCGATGGCCTGCGGCAGGCGACGGCTCCTGCTGCAGTCGCTGCGGGAAGCGCCGGGCGCCCCAGGCAGAAGGGCGATCGCGTCCGCATCGTGGAGGGCCAGTTCGCGGGGCGCACTGGCACGGTCGTCGGTGCAGGCGACATCGATGGCGCTGGGCCGCGCACGAAGCTCGCCTTCGAGCCGTTCGGCAACATCGTGCGGGAAGTAAAGAGTGTCATTGGTCCCGCCTCACGGCTTGCAGACAAAAATTATCCTGGCGAAGGACCCAACCATATGCAATAGTGAAAAACGCGGAGTGAACGCGGGGCGCTGTCTCTTCAAAACGAGGACCCAACACCACAGGATGGTTGGGAAAAACCAATTTTGCACCAGTGTTCCAGTGCATCGGAAACCTTCTGGGCATCAAGCTTACTGGCGGATGCTGCCAGGCGAGAGCTCCGGAGAGCGTCCGACCGGCGCGGCGGTGGGCTCGACTCGGCAGCCTCTCTGCGCAGCGCCTCAAGAGGTCCGGCGTCGTGTGGCCTTCCGCTCCCCCTCTGCAGCCACGCGCGGCGGCTGGTGTGGTGACTCCAGCTCCAGGGGCCCTCACCGACCCTCAGCGGCCCCTGGTAGCAGCCGAGAAGGAAGCAACAGCACAACGAGACTCCTTGATGGCCTTGGCGTAAGGCTGCACCCAGTAATGTGTGTGATTGTGTTCTGCAGCAATGTATGCGGCGAGCACGGCATTGTCCGACATATTGATTGATGGTCTAAAACCATCATTCGAAGACTTGACTGGGTCGTCCCGTTTGTAGATGTGAGAACCAAGTGTGGACGAATGCTCGACCTTCAGACCCCCCGGCGGAAAGCAGGCGAGCACGTTGTCGGTTGTATCGATGTCAAACATATATGTGTGATACCTCGTACTGAGAACCATCCACTCTTCTATCCAATTATGAGGGCCCCAGCTCAATTCATCTGGCTTGTGTCGAAGGGCCCAGTTCAGAAAACGTTCGTCCCCACATGTATGAGCGCAAACCTGGTCCACACATTGTTGTTTGATCCCAGACGTCTTCCAGAAATCTTTCTTTGAGCGTGGCGCCCAACCATGGTGCCAACACACTTGTTTGAGAGCACACCTCATCCATGGAATTTCCTCACGTACGGGCAACAAGAAAAGCGTACTCTGCGCGCAGGGCTCTTTCAGAATAGAACCAAGCCCACGCCACATGTGAGAGCCTGATATGGACCAATTGCAACGTTCACGCAACACTCCTTGAAGAAAATTGTCACGCGCTTGATTGACCGCTAACCGACCTGTGGCAAAATAATTTTTGATTGTTCCGCCCGCAAATTTAGCAGAACCTCCGACGAAAATGTGAGTCAGACCGTTCATACGGACATACTCTCTCATATTTTCACATAGGTCGTTGACCTTCCAACATCTCAAACGTCTGACACTACTTGAAAACATGATGTCGTATGAGCTCGCTGGCTTGCACATGGCCCATCGTGTAATAGACAGGGCCCATATTAATGCGGAGAGGGTTCCAACTACATGTACTGATAGAGGTAACATGAATTGGTCAAAACTCGAATCAGATGCTTGAATCCAAATGGCTTGAGCCAAAATGGCTACGGAGTCGATGTCGTTCAATGTTGAACAGTCGAGGCCGTGGACCGCTCAACCTTGAAAGATCACGGCCTTCCTGTAGCGCAGATTGTTCGATACTGGTGGAATGCGGATGTCTGGTTCAACCTTTAACGACGGCGCGGGTGTCGTCGGTGCGCCGACGCTGTGGGAACCGACCTTGCGCGGTGGCTTTCCGCGGCCGTTGAAGAAGCTGCTGCGTTCAGGGTGCTCAGGATTCCTCTCCAGCTCCAATTTCTTGCCATACGCCTTCCCAGCCGAGACAAGAAGCGCGTACACACCGAACGCTGGGTCAGGATGGGCCTGGCCAGGAACGGTGTAACACTACCTTGGCGAACCAAAAGGCCGTGCGCGCGCCGCGACGCCGACGTTATCGACGTCGGCATCGGGGTCGTCGTCGAGGCTGGTTGCCTGTCATCGTCGTTGTCGTCGCTTGTCCTCGTCGCTCGCCGTCGTCGCTCGCCGTCGTGGTTTGTCGTCGCCAGTCGTCATCGCCCGTCGTCGCCCTTCGTCGTCGTCGTCGCCCGTCGTCGTCGTCGTCGCCCGTCGGCATCGTCGTCGTCATCGTCGTCGTCGTCGTCGTCGTCACTCGTCGTCGCCCGTCGTTTTCGTCGTCGTCTCGCATCGTCGTCCGTCTTCGTCTTCGTGGCTCGTCGTCGCCCGTGTTCGTAACTAGTCGCTTGTCGTGGGTACGCGCCTCCTCTGAGCCAGGCCTCGAGAGAGGACCGCGACCTGACTCCACTGTGGTCCCGCGCGGGAGGCTCCGCGCTGTGACACCTCGCTGGGGCCGAAGCCACGCTTAACGAGCAGCGAACATATCCGCATCCACGGAGTCGCGGTCTGGAGTCGGGGGCGCGATCCCGCGGATACGCGGTCGCACGGCTACGTTCCGCGCGCGGCATCCGCTGGAAAAACACGCCTCGTACCCACAGGGTCGCGGCCCAGGTGCCGGGCC